TGACTCCACCACTGCCATACAGCTACACTGACTCCATCCACTGCCATACAGCTTCACTGACTACATCCACTGCTATACTGCTACACTGACTTCAGCCACTCCATGGCGTTTTATCCTAAAGCTTATCGTTCACAAATGTTGTGCTGACGTTCGTCTTGCGTACATTTGTTATCTGTGCATGTACAGATCTTACAAGATTGCTCATAAGTATAAAGTTAAATGTCACGACACTACAACTACTGCTACACTGATTCCGGCCATCACTATACAGTTACACTGACTCTAGCCACCACAATACAGCTACACTAACTCCAGCCACTGCTATACAGCTACACTGGCTCCGGCCATCACTATACAGTTACACTGACTCTAGCCACCACAATACAGCTACACTAACTCCAGCCACTGCTATACAGCTACACTGACTCCAGCCACTGCTATACAGTTACACTGACTCTAGCCTCCACAATACAGCTACACTAACTCCAGCCACTGCTATACAGCTACACTGGCTCCGGCCATCACTATACAGTTACACTGACTCTAGCCACCACAATACAGCTACACTAACTCCAGCCACTGCTATACAGCTACACTGGCTCCGGCCATCACTATACAGTTACACTGACTCTAGCCACCACAATACAGCTACACTAACTCCAGCCACTGCTATACAGCTACACTGACTCCAGCCACTGCTATACAGTTACACTGACTCTAGCCTCCACAATACAGCTACACTAACTCCAGCCACTGCTATACAGCTACACTGACTCCAGCCACTGCTATACAGTTACACTGACTCTAGCCACCACAATACAGCTACACTAACTCCAGCCACTGCTATACAGCTACACTGGCTCCGGCCATCACTATACAGCTACACCGACTCTAGCCACCACAATACAGCTACACTAACTCCAGCCACTGCTATACAGTTACACTGACTCTAGCCTCCACAATACAGCTACACTAACTCCAGCCACCACAATACAGCTACACTGACTCTAGCCACCACAATACAGCTACACTAACTCCAGCCACTGCTATACACCTACACTCACTAAAACCACCACAATACAGCTACTAGTACACTGACTCCTGCCACTGCTATACAGCTACACCGACTCTAGCCACCACAATACAGCTACACTAACTCCAGCCACTGCTATACAGCTACACTGACACTAGCCACCACAATACAGCTACACTAACTCCAGCCACTGCTATACAGTTACACTGACTCTAGCCACCACAATACAGCTACACTAACTCCAGCCACTGCTATACACCTACACTCACTAAAACCACCACTATACAGCTACTAGTATACTGACTCCTGCCACTGCTATACAGCTACACTAACTCCAGCCACTGCTATACAGCTACACTGACTCTAGCCACCACAATACAGCTACACTAACTCCAGCCACTGCTATACAGCTGCACTGACTCCAGCCACTGCTATACAGCTACACTGACTCTAGCCACCACAATACAGCTACACTAACTCCAGCCACTGCTATACAGCTACACTGACTCTAGCCACCACAATACAGCTACACTAACTCCAGCCACTGCTATACAGCTACACTGACTCCTGCCACTGCTATACAGCTACTAGTACACTGACTCCAGCCACTGCTATACACCTACACTCACTAAAACCACCACTATACAGCTACTAGTACACTAACTCCATCCACTGCTATACAGCTACACTGACTCCATCCACTACTATACAGCTACACTGACTCCATCAATCACTATATAGCTACACTGAATTTCATAGAATAAACAGTTTTATTATCGTCATACAAACTAAAATCTTTCTGTGAGAAAGTCACTGTAGTGTTATAATGGTCACACATATTGAGTATATTAATTCATGATCAGATCATGTCTTTGAAATGGCTAAATTATTAGAAGCAAAAAAAAATTGGGATAGATGAATTATTGCAGTATGCTTCTGTCAGTGTTAACATGATTATACATGTCAATAATGGTGATTGAATTGTAGAAATGTTGTTTTATCGAAAATCAGGTTGTTCAACTAATAGAAGGGTTTGGCTTAAACAAATTGTTGCTTAGATGTTGAAAGAATGGTAAGTTAAGCATCTTTTCTTTTTTTTCTAAATTGTGACTGTAACTCACCCCTTTTGAGTGGCCCCTTTTGAAATGACACATGCAATGACCAAATAATGTTTTTAATTTTTAATATTTATATTAATTATTTTTAATTTTTTTAGTTGTGACTGGTTGTACAAATGGTATTGGTAAGGAGTATGCAAGACAACTAGCAGAGCATGGTGTGAATATTGCTTTATTGAGTCGCTCTAAAGAAAAGTTACTGAAAGTAGCTAAAGAAATAGGTGAGTTAAATGGAAAAGTGTCAATCTCAGAGATGCACCATACAATTATGGGACATCATATTCTGTGTTGCATACACAAACCATAAGGTAGTTGCTATAGTGACCAACAATGCAGATAATCAAATTTCCATCATCTTTACAATGTGCTTTTATAAAAAAAAATATTTTTAGGAACAAAAAGATCAGTTAATCATGAAAATGATGATTTTTGAGCCATTTGGTTGCTATGGCTCCTCATAACCCAAACTTGTTGCCTAGTAACATTTGGAGAGACAGTCCCCGTTATTTGATTATAAAGTAGTACAAGGAACATCTGCAAACAGGTGAATGAATATGTACTCTTTGTGGATACAACTCATCATAAAGTGATTTCCTATAATCAAGTTTTGCACTGACAACTAAAAACTTTCACTGACTCATGTTCAGAATCTCAGAGTACACAAGTGCAACAAAATTATTTGTCATACATGTATACTTGTTCAAGAAACTGCATTCATAAATGAGTAAACCTTGATGTACATGACTTCTTTGTTAATTCAGGTCTTAGTATATTACCAGAACCTGGGTTTGTTTCAACTTCACTACTGGACATCAGAATCATTCTCATGTTGTCAAATACAATTTGTTATTAACGGAGTAAGGTTTATTAGTTAAACTGTATTCACTGTACATAGAACATCTGTTAATTTAAACAATTGTAAAGGCTATGTTTTCAGAGCAAGTACATGTAATAATTAAGAAAGCCAGTAGTGATAAAGGTTGGTCTGCTCATAACCTTCAATGGAGAAGTAACAATAATTGTTTGAAGTCTTTTTAGTGCAGTGATATTATTGCATTTCAATCATTATTAATGGGTATAAAATACTGTAAATCATTTAATTTTCACTGCTAGAAATGTTCAGGATTTTATGGAATTTGTGTACAACATTTCAATAAAGTCTCTGATACTTCATGTTGTAGGAACCCAGAAAAAATTGCCCTGCGAAATTAAGGCACCACTATAAAAGGTTCACAGCACCACTGTAATAAAAAAGATAGTTTAAAATGAGTAGAATATAGCTATAGCACATGTGGGTTCATAAGACATATAAACGAATCTGAGTGGTTCTAGAGATTAGTATTACAAGATTTTACTCTTCGTGATTCAATATCAGTCCTACTTATAAAGCTGTGTTGATCAGGCAAACTACCGGATTTTGTCGTAAATTCGCCCATCCAAAAAATTGGCTAGTGGGCGCTTATTTTGGGTTCAAAATTTCATAAAATGATCAGCAAGTATTTTTGGGGACTTCTATTTTCATTGACAAAATTCAACTACGCCGACTACAGCATCGACAGTTGGGCCACCTGAGACGACACAAACTATTGCAGAAGCTAACCTAAAATTTGATACAAGTTTTGTTTTGCTGAATTAAAAAGTAGACCGCCTAAAATTTCATTACACCCAGTGTCAGTTTTCTCCAAAAAAATCAAATTAACAGACATGGTACGTCAAATAATTTTTTTCTCACTGGTAACGAAAGTATATTGTAAACACAATTGCATTGCGTAGCAGCAAATAGTCACGGTTGCGCAAACCGGTCAAGCTGCATTTCCCAATTGTTGATTATTACCCAGTAGTGATTATAATAACATACAAAAAACAGTATGATATTTTGGCTTGGATTTTGATGGGTTGTTTTCAAATGCTAAACTGAGCATTAGAAGAATAATTTAACATTTTACAGTGATAACAGCTCATTGTCGAAACAAAGCTTGAAATAAAAAATAGACTATTTTAGGCATCAGGAAAGATTGAAATGTCTGAAAAATGACGTCAAAATATTTAAAGAACAACTTTAAAAATCGCCCTGAGTGATTTTTCTTGGTCCCATTTAATTTTTTTTAAAAACTCAACCAGCCCAGGGAGAATTTACGGCAGAATCCGGTAATAGACAATAGCCCTATAGGCATCGCTATGCAATCACAGTAGCTTTGTATTCGATCGGGACAACTAGTAATAATAGCGACCTTGCATTGGAACACCACTGTTTTGGAGACATTCAAGACGATCACTCTAAAATACCTTGTTCAATTATGACAATAGGTATTTATTGATCCAACGGTATCATTTGATCACTATATTGGGTGGTGTTACATGAAAAAAAAGAATAACTTCATTCACAACACCGGGACATACGCCCTCCATTTTGAAAGTAGTGTGAAAAATACAACATCGATACAACACAGAATAGTCATTTAAACGGTAAGATAGAAGTTTATGTCGATCGATTCTAGTCTTTTTATTGCGAAGATAATAAAACGTCAAATTTCGACCTCTACAATTAATCGTGTAAAATAATTTAATAACATGCGAGTCTCTTTACAAACTAGCGTTTATATTTTTATTTTCTGGCTATTCACCTGAATATAAAAATGGTGATCAACATTACAATTCACATCACTAAGCACATCCATCAATGTACATGCCCAACACATTCAATGTTAATCAAAATAAAGAACCTACCTTTGTACACTTACGACGACTTTGAAGCTCCTGCAATCCAACCACTGAGTGCTGAAAAAAACCTAGTAGATGCAATGAAACAACACTCTGCTAAATGCAGATTAAACTAGCATGGTAATACAGCATGACTTCCAGATTCGTATTTAGCTTGGATTCAATTGACTATTCAGGCAACATTTGAAAACGAGGTTCAATTCATACAGTACCCAAATATCATGATTTAACTCTGGGAATCGTAAACTACATTTTATTACCTATAATGCACAAATTATTCAATCATAAATAACAATCTCATAGAGAATAATACAAATATTTTTCTTACAATTTCTTGTTGGTAGAAAATCCAAGGTTAGAAAGCTTGTCTTCATTATACTTTGCAAGTACTTCTATAACACACATTCACAGGTTTCTCTGCTTTACAACTTCGACATTTTTGTTGTTAGAAAATGTTCAAAAAATCCAGGATTTCATTACTTAAAAACTGCACATATAAAGGCTACATTACTCATGTTTTTTGAAATAAAAAGTTTTCATTATTTTAAACAGTACAATTTTAAAATTTATGATTATAAGGCAATTCATACATACAATTTGTGAATATTTGGTTTCTTAGTGACAGCTCTGTATTTTTGATATATAGTGCAAAATGAGTTTCTGTTTCATTTAGGTAGGTTCAAATACATTAGGTAAAACTTGTGAATCAGAAATCAGCAATTCATAAATCTGAATTTAACAGAATCAATTATTCTGAGCATGCTCAGTTGCTCTGTCAGTGTAATAGAGAGAGGTAATTTTGGATGAAAATCTTGAAAAAGACCCACTTAGGATTTTCAGATCTGGAAAAAAAGTTACCTGCATATGTAACACAGACTTGTTCATCAACCTGCCAAGTTACATTGACATCTGCTGCAAAGTCCCTGAGAAAATGTGAGAGATAACTTACAGCAACTTGAAAATGAGAAAGAAAGTACATGTAATTCTAGTACTCCTTTCCTTTCTTTTCAGGCTTTATAGGGACTAAAAATAGCTATATATGGATATATAGTTGTGATTTTATTTGGGAATTCTGATGAATATTATTTGTTGATGAAATAGTAATTCAACATGGAAAATTTATGGAAACAATTTTTCAGACATTATTTCTCTCAAAATATATGTTGTCCTAGGTAATTTTCAGACAATTTAATATATATGTTCTTGAACATTTGTTAGCTTATTGTTTTAAGGTAGAGATGCAGTTTATTTGTGAATTTCAATCAAAAATAGTTTTTTTCGTTTTTTATATAGATTTTTATCTAAAGAACATTCTGTGAAAATTTGACCAATGAATTCTTATTGGAACACCGTTAAAATTGCTGCTTATTTTCTGGTTAAAAATAAAAAACACACACACGTGACAATGTTTATGTCCAATTGCCTAATTTGCATGAGTAACCAAATAACAGGACCTTTGATTGACAATATGCAAATCGAGATTGTACGGGTCAATTCACGCGCATGTGCAATTATTCTCAAATCAGTTCTCGCTCGCTAGCAAACCATCGTCCGCCTGCACGGTGTTGCTCCGTTCGAACATTTCTCCTTCCATAGTGGAGTGCTTCGCCGGAACATTCACCTTGAAAATTCAAGATGTAGCAAACCAAACATTATATTTCCTCAGTGTTTTTTCCTAATTTTTATTATTACATTATGCGTGGTGTGAAAAGAAAGAGAGGTAGAAAGAAGATTCAGATGATTTCTATGTCGGAAGAGGCAAAAGCTACACTGAAGGCAGCTCACCGAACGAAAAACAAAATTGATGTGAGCGTCCAAACATGACTTTCCTTGAAGGCATGAATCCGAGTTTCTCATTGACTGAGAGATGATATTTTTAAATAATTGTTCTCAAAAAATAAACTGAGCATGTGAAGAATAATTTAACATTGTTTACAGTGATAACTGCTCATTGTCGAAACGAAGCTTTACCCATTCACGCTAGTCACAATAAACATCATACTCTTGAATAGGCGTCAATGACTGGACTACGGTAAAACTTAGACTCTATTTTAGGCATCAGGAATTATTGAAATATCCGAAAATGACGCCAAAATACACCTTAAAAGTCCCATTTTATTTTTTTTCTAAATCCCATCCCGAATTTACGGCAGAATCTGGTCCCTCAAATAAGGGACACGTGAGCTTTGATTCTAACCGGATATATTGCACTGGGTCGGGGAGATACAAACTTTTGTGTATCTTTTGTCCAATGGATACCTCTACTACGATCATTCGCAAGTTTTGCTAGGTGGTGCGAGATAGCTTTGTTTGCAACCGGACGAACTCAGTTTAATTCAATGAAGCAAACAACTGACAATGCTA